CCCCCCTGTTTTTTTTTTTTTTTTTTTTTTTTTTTTGCCGGGGCTTGACAACCCTGCTTAGTAGTGATACACGAAGGGAGATTTTTGGCTACCAGAGACTCAACCAAAGACAAAGGCTCACACACAATGTGACAAGTACGTCGTGTCCACTAGCTCATCCCCCTGAATGATATATATAAATACAAGTATGTTACAGAGTCAGATCACCACTCCACTCTACTACCCCTCAAATACTGCTCATGTTATTTCATATACTACTTTCTATGCTAAGTCTCCTCATCCGACTGAAGAAAAGCACACAACTTGTCTCACTCTCGTTTCTCATGTCTAACTGAAGAAGAAAACACATATCCCCTTGCTCTAATTTACACCTTTTTCTCTCTCATAACTGTCTTTTAAGCCAATTCAAGTCATAGTTTACTCAAAACATCTACCTATTCCTACCTAGAAATCAACTGGCAGTCCCAGTATCCTGTGAAGTGCTACCCTGCCTCCCTCAGGTATCCTGGGAATGGTCTGCCCTGTGCCGGCCACCAATCTCTTATGACTATCATATTTGGTTTTTCCTTTTTTGATATAAATTGTTAGAATGGAACACTCATCCCTGAGGTGCCCTTCCTGAGCGCAGAAGAAACACCTCTGTCCAACCATGCTAGGCTTGATTCTCTTTATGTCTGGCTGGATTGAAGTCTCAGCCTGATCCTCAGCCTCCTTTGGTGAGTCCAACTTGGATTCCCTTTGTCTTTTGCCCTGTCCTGGCAGAGGCATAGCCACACTCTCACTTACTTCCTTTTCTGGTGCAGGAGACTCTTCTCTCTTCTCCCCAGTCTATACTCCCTTCTCTTCATCCTCTTTTCTTTCCACCATCTTTGTGGCTTCCTTCTTTTTCCCTTGTTGGCCCAATCTGAATTCCTTCATTCCTCTCAATATCTCTTCTCATCTTTTCTCCCACTCTTGTCCCAACTTCTTTCTTTATGAGATTTCATTGTCCAAGTCCTGCCCTAGCACACTAACCTCAGAAACCAAACTATCCACCCTTATTTCCATCTTACCTCTTGTGGCCACTTCATTTTCCAGTTCTCTGCTTCGCACATTCAGGGTGACCCTCAATTGACTCATTTCTTTTTGCAATTCCTCCTTCTCTTTCTTCAATTCCCTCACTTCCTTCCTCAGTTCTTCCATATCTCTGACCAACTTCTTCATCTGGTCATCCTTCTCATCTTCCTTCTTTCTTATCCCGCTTGTCTCTTCCTTGTCCCCAATCGGCCTCTTTCCCTCAGTTCTCTTGACTTTGGGAGCCTTGCCTCCTCCCTGGACATTCTTTCCCTCTTCAGCTTCTTCTACTCTTCTACTCCTTCCCCTTTTTCACTCACTCTTTCTTGTACCTATCTTCTCCCACTCTCAATTGTCCTTTTCTTTCCAAGTTTCTTCTTCCTTGGTACCATACTGGCCCCCATGCTTCTTTTTCTCTCCTCTGTTGCCTCCTCCTCTTCCTGTTCATCTTCCTCAGCCTGCTCAGATTCCTTGCTGCTGCTTTTGGGGGAGACCCTCGCCTTGTTCTTCAACTTCTTCAGAGGTACATTATCCTCTTCTTCATTCTCTTCCTCCTTCCCTTGTGGCTCAGTCACCTCTCTTCTACCCCTTCTTTTGCAGCCTTTCCTTTCTTGTCTGGTCTTGCCTGGCCTGGGTGTAGGCTATCCACAATTCTGCTGTTATCCTTTTCCAAGTCCGACTCCCTTCCACAATTCCTCTTACTTCCTCCTTTTCGCCTTTGTTTGATCTCGCGATCAACTGCTTCCTCTTTTCCTCCTCGCTCCATTCGCCCCTCTCAGCGGCCAGCTGCACAATCTCAATAAAGTCTTCCAGATTGGTCCCATCAAACCTTAAATCATCCTCCACATCATCCCTTGGGAATTCCCCCATGTCTCTCCATATTCTCACCTTGCATACCCTTCACCTTATGCAACCTGTCACCACTCCTTCGATCCTCCTCTTGTAATTTCCTGCTCCTCTCGTATTCGCAATCCTTTCCCTGTCACCCCATTCTCTTCTGAATGCGTACTCCTCAAGGTCTCGCAGGAAAACTCGCAGGTTGTCTCCAACCCTGTAAATGGGCAGTTCCTCCAGGTTTCTTGAGATTCTCTGTTCCCTCCTCTGCCCTCCCTTTTTCAAGGCAAGTCCAGAGGACCCTGCCACTGCTCCTCTCTGCGTCATGGCCTCTTCTTTCCAAGGGTCACGCCTGCACACAGAGAAGGAGCAAATGGCAAGGAACGAGGGTCAGATTATCATCAAGGCAACATTCCTGGTTAAACACAAGTTGACAATGCCCTCCTTTATCAGGTACTTACATACACGTCCATATACACACACACACACATATATATATATATATATATATATATATATCATATATACATATATATATATACATATATAAATACATGAGCGTATATACACACACATATCCCCACTTATACCCCTCTGCATCCATTTATGTTCACATACATATATATATATATGCATGTATGTATCCATATATGTATGAGCATAATCTTGGGCAATTGGGTACATACCTGCATAGGAACTAATTCACATATGCATGTCTAAATACCTCCCCAACCTATCCAAGCTTTCGTATCGTAGTTGAGCTTACCTCTTCTCTGACTCGGAACTTCTTCAGTCTAGATCCTGAGATCCAGTCCTTCCTTGGAGTCTCATCCATCTCTTCTAGCTCATATGCCTCATGAAGTCCCTGTCTCCTGACTTTGAATGGCCCTAACCATCGTTTGTCCAATTTCCGCGACCACTGCATTTCCAGAGAGGAATCGTAGAGTAGTACTGTCTCGCCAACATGTAGAGATTCGAGTCTTACTCTAGGCAGTTTGTCCCACCTTTCTTTATCCTTTCCCCTGCTGTCTGCAACGTTCATGGCCGCTCCCTGCACCCTTTCTTCAGTGACGCTGATCTGCCTTGCCCTTAGATCTAGCAGTTTCTCCAAAGTCAAGTTGTTCTCCAGGTCCTGCCTGCACCAAGTTTTCAGGAAGCTTTCAATAGGAAACGTGGCGTGACGCCCATACCAGAGTGTCGCAGGTGCATACCCGGTCGTCCTTTTTACAGTGATGTTCTCTACAAAGAACACTGTTCTTAGGAACTTTGGCCAGAGATTCGGCTTCCCACTGGTCCATTTGGCCAGTAAGTTAGTAATTGTGCTATGGCCTCTCTCAACCGGTGCATTCGCCTGTGGATGAGCCCGAGTCGTATAATTGCCATTGACCCCCAATTCCTTCAGCAGTTTTTTCACTTCCCCACATGTGAACTCAGACCCCCTTTCCATTGTAAATTCCAATACAAAAGGATATCTGAGATAATATTCCTTAATACAATCCGCCAGTGTTGTCCCGGTCTTGTTCCTGATTGCTCTGCCATCAACGAATCCTGTAAGGTTGTCCCTGACGTCAAATATATAGTTATATCCTCCAAGACCTAGTGGCATAGCCAGTAGATCCAGGTGAACAACTACACCTACTTCCTTGATATATCTAGGATGCAGAGGTTCCTTGTACCTGATAGGCGATCGAATTTGACAGGGTACACACGACTCACAGTACTTCCGTGTCATTTCAAACATTCCTTCCCAGTAGTAGAGCTTCATCGCCTTCTTATAAGTAGCTGCGAAACTCCGATGGAGCTCTACTGGAGACGTTTCTTCATTGGATTCTTCCTGATTTCCCCACTCAATTCTGCTCATGCCGTCCGCCCTATTCTTGTTTCCAGGGATCCGCTCTAACTGGAAGTCGAACATCTAGATATAGGTGATTCATCTGGCTATGGTCGGATCTGAGGGCGAGAAATTCTTGAGTGAGTACACAAGTGCCGTAGGATCGATCCTAAGTGCAAACCTCCTCCCAAAGAGGTAATGCCTAAAGACCCTTAGGCAATGCAGGACCGCCAAGGCTTCTCTTTTGAACTGCGAGTAGTTCCTTTCTGTTGAGTTGAGTGTTCGGTTTTTAAACCTTAGCGGCCTCTCCCTTCCTTCACTGTCTATCTGGATCAGGACGCCTCCCAGGGCGGTTGGTTCAGCGTCAGTTTCAACTATGAAGGGCATTTCCATAGTTGCATCAAAGTCTGGTACCCCTCGTACCAGACCTCCCTCTCTAAACTCCTTCTTCAATTCTTCCACCACTTCCTCTTGATGGTTTCCCCATTCCCATTCCTGATCCTTCCGGACTAGCTTCCTTAGATGCTCTGTTTTACTAGCAAATCTCTCTATAAATCTTCTCCAGAACTCACAGGTACCAAAGAAACTTTGGACTTCACCCACATTTCTGAAAGGAGTAGGCCATTCCATGATTTTATTGGTCTTCTTCTTATCAGGGCGCCGACCATGCTCGTTGCAAATATATTCCAGAATGGTTACCTCTTTCACGCAGTGTCTTGACTTCACACCACTGGCGGTTAGGTTGTACTCTTCTAGTAGAGATAGGACTTCTCTTAACCCCTGAACATGTTCCCATACAAACTTTCTCACCCCAAGAGCCACTTTGGATTCATCCTTCTCTATTGGGCCCTTGACAGCAAGATCATCTATGTACGGCTCGATGATCTGAGGGCTGATTGGCTGCATAACCCTGATCATGCTCCGTTGCACCATGGCCACAGCATTGGTCCATCCTTGCGGCGCAACATTCATATGAACTAATCCCCTTGGCGTATGCATCGTCGTGATGGGACGGTCCGCTGGATAGACTGAAAACTGATCATATCCAGAGTAGAGGTCAATGAGGGACACAATCGACCTACCTACACAAGCTTCTGATAACTGGTCAGCATTGGGCAGACCCCCTGCATCCCTTACAGTTACCGCGTTCAGTCGTTAGGGGTCTTGCACCCATCTGAGAACTTCATTTGGCTTTACAAAATAGAACCAGGGAGAGGCATATGGTCCACTGGAGTACCCTGCCACATCCGTGCGGATCTTCCCATCTAGGTACTCTACCACCCTTCTGCGATCCTCAGGGTTGGGATACTTAACTCCTCAGACATTCCATGGCTCATGAGGTACAGTATGAATGCGGATCATTTCTATCTTGTCCACATCCAGCCTCCCATGTTGATCATCGTTGAAGGCATATGCCCCATGTTTTTCACGTATCAGTTTTTTAACCAAGTCCTCGTCTTGCCTTGTCAGAAAGTCAGGTTCCCCTATTATCAGTTCTTTCTCAGCCTCATCGTTGATACGACAAGGCCCGTTCTGGATGCCTTCCCTCATCCGCTGTATCAGTTATCTTTCCTGATCATAATATATCTCTTCTTCTTGACTCACTAGAACTGGCACAGGGCGGCTCTTCTTATCTACCGTCTTGTACCTCCTTTTGGAGCCCTGCTTGAGCCCACCCCTAAAAAATGCTGACCGGCAGCTTGAGCATTCGGCGCATGCGGCACTATCGTCTGAGTAGAAATAGGTGGCCGGTAAACGAGATCGACCTTTCCTCCTTCCGGATCGTTCTGGATTCTTTCAACGAGCGCTCTAATGGCATCTGCGTCAGCCATCCTATAGGCCGATACCAGTTTTACTGCATCACTGATATTTGCTAGACTTAATACAAGCCCTTTGGCTTCTTCATCATCTGACTCCTCTTCTTCTTCTTCCCACTCTAGTTCTCTCCTCTTATTCTCCGACTCTTCGAATGTGTAGGATCCAGCATTGAGTCTGTTTTTTTAGCTGTGTGGCCCCGTATTCCTACAGGTGATCACCTCAAAGTTTCCACAGGCAGGATCGCACAGGATGACGAACATGGTGCCGTCGTGTTTGTTCATAAAGAGTGCCTCAGATCTGCACAAGAACGACTTTCCTAGTAATATTGGAAAGTCCAAGCTGGGCATGACGTAAAAACACGTACGCACCTTGACTCTTCCTATTTTTATGACCACATTTGATGCGACACCAGTGTATCCGGTCTTGCCGCTGGCTCCATTGAGGAACCCGCAATCATTCTCATCCACCTCCAACCCTAGTTTTACCGCGGTTTCTCCATTTACAATATTCATTTCTGCCCCGGTATCAACCATCCCATGACACATCTTTCCCTTTACCATAACATCAATGGACCCTGTGCCTACAAATTTTCAGTCCATTTTACTCTCTGCCACGCTCCAATTAGCCTCTTTGGGAATTAAATCCCCCATTCGGACCGAGGCTACTCTCCGACGTGATAACCCAGCTTTCACCATTTCTCTTAACTTAGGAGCTGAAGCGAGGATTTCTTTCAGGTTTAATAGTTCATTGTGCCCCTCCAGCAGTTTATTCACCAGGCCTTCCAGATCCACCCCTTCTTCGATCGAGGTTTGATACTTTCTCTTCTTGCTTGGTTCCGTATCCCCCTTTGATCTTCCTTCCTTAGCTTCGCCTTTCCTTCTCTTAGCCCTTATTTCCGCCTGTCTTTCTTCTTCCTCCCTAATCTTATCATCCTCATCTTAATTACCCTCTACTGTGATAGGTGGTTCTTCTTCTGCTGGCTGGGAAGCCTGGGCTTGTTCCTTTTGAGGATTCCCTCCTGCGGGTCTTCTTGTAGCGAATGGAATCGTCCCTCTCATACTTCTCTGACTTCCACTGTTCCTTGCGGCCATATTGGCTCTCAACATTCTCGGGTTGAGTTCATTTGGCCCATCTCCCGTTCCCTCACGCCCCATGGTAAATACCTTTGGGCATCCAGCTCCTTCTTTTCCTGCCCTTCACATATCCCTTGAAGCCTCAGATGTAGCCTCTGCATTTTGTCTACCAAGTCTTCCATCCTATCGAACGTGTCTCTGACGTTAGCCATAACGTCTTCCTCCTCTGTTTCTTCTTCCACCAGCGGCACGTCTCCCTTGTCTTCTTCAATCCCCATCCTATTCACTTTCTCTTCCAAGTTAGTTATATCTTTCACCTGCACTACTGGTTCTTCCCTTTCCTGCCAAATTCGGAACATTCCTGGTGCGTTGGGACCAAGTGCGGCCACACGAAGAGCCTCTTCCCTTGTGCCCCCTAGAATCTCGGGATCTATCACCCTACCATTTTG